AGGGACTCTCTTTCTAAGTGCCTTTATCCTAATGTAGGAAGAACAGGTTAAAGACATTTTAGTCTGTTTTGTGCTTAACAGATATTGTTGAAAGGTTACTGAGAGGGAAAGTTATTTTGGTGGTGTAAAAGGAGGGCTTTGGATTGTGTGTGTGTGTGTGTGTGTGTGTGTGTGTGTGTGTGTGTGTTTTCATTTGTAAAGTGTTCTCAGTTACCAGATTGCTAAAAGGGGGAAATGAACTAATGAAAAGTGGCTTAAAATGTCAGGAAGAATGATTTAAGTGGTAAAAGGCAACCAACTGAATCTTTAGCATTGTACTAGCTGGAGACTTATTCAGAATGTTAGGGATGAGACATGTCCTCAACAAGTATTTACTGGGTGTCAGCTCTTGGCAAAACCTCGAAGATACAAAGCAGAAAGGCATCATCTGGGCCTCAGATTGCTTAGAGAATTGGAGGAGATCAGATACATAGATACCTCTAATGGAGGTATGTCACAAAAGCAAACAACAGAGGACAGTATTCAGTACCTTAGGGGAATTGGAAAGACATCATAGAAGTTTTTCTTATCGAAAATATGACATTGGTAACACAAAAGGACGAATTGTTTCTGGATTTTGGAAACCCAGCAAGGCATACTTTGGGGGAAACTTCGAAAAACAAAGTTAAGGGTAGGAGAGTGCGGTGGACAGTAATGGGAAGACGAACCTGAATAAATGCCGGGCAGACCGGTACAGCCTTGACTGCTGTGCTGAAATGTAACCACTTAATACATGTGAGGCTTGCTATGTTATAGGCATAATTTTATTTCTTATAAGTGAGAAAATTTTCGGCTTCTGAAATGTCCATTAATTTCGTTTCTTGTGTTTAAAGAAATTTGTTCAGGATTTTACAAACAAATTGGACAAGATGGGTCCCGCCCACTTGCTCTTGGGAACTGTCTAAACAAGCATATGCTGCAGGTGTCCTCACTGACCAGGTACTAAATTCTGACTTGTCCTGGAGGAGCAAAAGAAGAGCACGGAGGAAAGGATGGTGGCGCTTGGATTAAATCCAGCCCATTTGCTCAGTACCTAGGAAAAAAAATCAAACCCTAGTTCCTGTTTCAGGCATATACTAGCTTAGAATCATGGAAGAAATACAAACTTTGGAACTAAACATAATAGTGAAAATTTAACTGGAGAATCTGAGCCCCACTTTCCTCCTCTGTGAAAGGGGAGAGCAATCTCTTAAATTAGTTTAAAGGATTAAGTTAGACAATAAGTGTGAAATGGTCACAAGACTCATTCACATTATTAGTTCTTTCCTCATTCCTCCCTCTGCAAGTTTAGGTGTGGTCTTTTGCTGACTTCACTAAACAGCTGTTAGAATCTCCAGAGCTTGGTTTACAGAGATGAGTAATGCAATGTCTTCCCTCCAGGAAGTTTCTCCTCTCATTTCTTTCCTTAGTGTTTCCTCATCTCTGGTTTAGGGGCTAATCCTATTTAAAAATGCATGTCCTGAAGCCCCACCCCAGATAGTCTGATTTATTAGGTCTGAGAAGGGGTCTAGGAATCTTTTTTCACTTTTTTAAAAAGCAGTCCAGAGGATTCTGATGGAGACTGACATTATATTTTGAGAGACTTTGATCTGGGAAGAGATGCCACTAATTGTAATGCGATGTTTTGTAATGAAGGCGTACAAGAGGATAATGCCATTGAGTTGTCCTAGAAGTATAGATAGGGTTTTTGTTTGCTTTTTTTTTTAGGAGCTGGAAGATAATGATGAAAGGTCATCTTTAAAGAAAAAAAATACAAGAAACTAAGCCCATTTGAATTAAGCCCATTTTTATTTTATTACTTTTTTTAACATTTATTTTTATTTATGATTACAAGAACTGGGGTACAGACAGGCCAGAGGTGCAGGAGGTGAGAGGATTCACCAGAGACAGAGTGGGGAACAGAACACGCAGATTGACCAAAGTACACTGCTGAGGGGAGCTGGGGGTGAGTCAGGAGAGGTCTGCTGTGCCATGTGGGTAGCTTCTTGGCTGGGGATTGAGCTCTCGCTGCAGAGGCTGCGAAACAGCTTCACAGCACTGCGCTCAACTCCTTGGGCCACCAGGGAGGCCCTAAGCCCATTTTTAAAAATATATTTTTATTTATGCATATAGGAACTGGGGTGTAGGCCAGAGGTGGGGGGAGGGGTGAGACGTTCTACCAGTGACAGAGTGGGGAGCAGCAGAACAGGCAGATCTACTGAAATACACTGCTGAGGGGAGCAGTGGTCATGCCAACTGCTGGTGATAGCTGGATAGTGCTAAGACTTTAACCCCTGCGCCCCCAGGGAGGCCCCACACTTCATGTTCTGTAGGGCCTGCCCAAAGCATCAGAGGCCTAAATTTTAAGGGAATCCAGACTTTAAAATGTGGCATTATCAAGAATTGTAGATAATGAAGTTGACTATACAAGACACAAATGCTAAGGAGAATTATCTCATCTTGTAACTCCAATCAAAACAACCAAAATAAGGGAGTGGCAGGGCAACCAAAATAAGGGAGGGGCAGGACGGGAGGTCAGAATTCAGGTGCCTCGGGAAAAACCTCCTTTCATCTTCGTAGCTGTAAAAAGCAGTATAACTATCGCTTGTTGTCCTGCTTTATGCTGACACGGTATTTACAACTAAGGGGGCGTGGGGGTGGTAAGTGGCTTATAGGACCTTGGCTCTGGGAGGTTCTCCAGTGCCCTTTAGCCTCAAAGACAAACTCGAAAAGATAATCCGCCAGAAGTTAAGTGATTGGCACCTTTGGGGGGGATTTAAAGAAATGGCGCTCGCTGGAGTCTCACAAAGACCCTGCAAATTGGCCGGCACGGCAGAGCACCCGTCGCGCCTGCCCCCACAAGGCTTCCACCCACATTCAGAGGCATCCGCCTGCTGCCGCCCACAGGGGCGAGGCGGGCCTTCAGAGGTGCTTTTAAAGGCGGCGACGTGAAAAACCAAACTCAAACAAGCCCCGGCGGCGAGGCAGCAGCGCGCGCCGGGTGACTGGTCCCCACACTTGTTGAGCCGCAGGGCTCAGCCGCAGCGCACCACCTGATCGCTGCAAAGATGTCTCCTGAGGAGGGCCAATATGGCGACGGGCGCCTCTTGGCACAGCCCCGTTCCCTCCCCCGTGACCGGCGGCTCAAGTGACGCCCATTGGCCGACGAGGAGGCGGTGCCTGACTTCCTTCGTCGCCTCATTGGACCGAGTGACCGAAGGAGACGCCAATTCTCCTTTGCCCACTCCAAGTTCCCGCCCTCAGCGCTCCTTCGGCGTTTAATTGGCTTTCAGTTCAGTCAATATGCGTTCTAGCGTGTCGCTTTTCAGTATTAAGCCAATCATAACTTTTCTGGCTGCCCGCCTGATTTCTGATTGGCTTTGATAAGCTTCATCCTATCCCATTCCTGTCTCCTTTCTTCCTCTCCGCCCACCAGCCTTTGCCCAGACATGCTCAGCATTCTGATTGGTCGGTGGCCTGTCAGTCCTACCAAAGTTCTTCCTATAGCTTCTTCTCAGGGAGCCCGCCTGGAGGGTGACTGGTTTCGTCCCAAGCCTATCATCTCCAGTTCCCGCCCACCCTCACTTCCTGCGTCTTTCACTGGCTTTTAAAATTGAGAGGGCGGTCTCCTCGGGCGGCCACCAGGCACGCAACTTTGTCTTACACGCCTCAGGGAGCAAGCCGCACTTGCCATTGGGTACTCTGCCCGCCTTTCTTCTGCAATTCCCGCCTTTCTCCCTCCCTCATTGGGCGGGGCAGCAGTGAAGGGGCGGGGCCTAGGCCGGGCTTGTGGCGCGCTGCTCCCTCCTCCTTACCCCCCCCTCCCTGTCCGGTCCGGGTTCGCTTGCCTCGTCAGCGTCCGCGTTTTTCCCGGCCCCCCCCAACCCCCCCGGACAGGACCCCCTTGAGCTCGTCCCTCAGCTGCCACCATGAGCGGTAAGGATGAGTCCACTCCAAGCTTAGGGGTGGAAGGGGAGTGAGGGGGCGCGCGCGAGGGCCGACCGGGCGGTCCCCGCCGTGAGGGGGGGCGGGCGGGAGGCGGCGGCGGCGGCCTTGGTCCCGCCCGGGGCGGAGGGAAGGGAGGGAGAAGGGGCAGTGGCGGGGCCTCGGAGGAGGAGGGGGATGGGCCGCCCGCCCCGGGGGAGGGGGCAGCGTGGCCTCGCCCGCCCCCTGCCCGCCCCGGCCACGGGGGACGGGCCTTACCCCCCACTACTCGGCCGCCCGCCTGAGGCTCCTCCTGCCGGGGGCTGGAGTCGCGGGGGCGGCCCGAGCAGAGCAGGCCCCGCCCGGGCCAACCGCCTCCCTGGTCCGCCCTCCGGTCGCCGCCTGCCCCAGGGCCCTCCCCCCCTTCCGTCGGCTTCCCCTCCCCCCCACCCGGCCCGCCCTTTCCACGCCCCTCACCCCGAAACCGCCCTTTCGCTCTAGGGCCCGCCTTCCACCCGCCCTGAAACCTCTGGGCTCTTGCTCTTGGACCCCGTAGCCCTGCACCCGTGTTCACAAATGCTCCTCCCGTCACGCTTTTTATCTCCTCGTCACCCATTCTCCCTCCCCTTGTCTTGTTATTTTTTACACTTGAATTTTTCCCTCTCTCCATCTCCTTTGACCCTAATTTTAGCAAGTTTTCCATCCACCCACATGTTTTTTGCCTTACCTGTATTTCGGTTTTTTCCCTCCAGGATACTTTTTCTTATTTCGAAATTCTTTCACCATGCCTGCTGCCCTTCACGTTTCCTGCACCAAAAGCACTTCTGCAGTGTTTTCTGACTTGAATGTTACCCAGGGAAGAATGGGGGCCCAGTTTTGGCACCACAAAGACTAAGTCACCTCCTGCAGCTGTCCCTTTTCTTCTAATCCATTTTCTTTACTTTGGTGCCTTGACCTTCCTGTTAGTCATTTCTGTTTCACCATACCCTTCTTTCCTTTCTTCACTTTACCCTTTTCCTTCCTCCAACCTGAAGTTGTTTATTTGTCATTCTTTTTAGACCAAGATCACTCCATGGATGAAATGACAGCCGTGGTGAAGATTGAAAAAGGAGTTGGTGGCAATAATGGGGGCAATGGTAATGGTGGTGGTGCCTTTTCTCAGGCGCGAAGCAGCAGCACAGGCAGTAGTAGCAGCAGTGGAGGAGGAGGAGGACAGGTAAGTGCCGATCAGGGCAGAGGGGGGAAGGTGTTGAGAGGATGTAAATATTCTTAGATGATCTCTATTTTTCACAGAAAATTTTTAGGAAGGGGTCACATCATTTATAGGTAGGGAAGTAAGCACAGAGTCAAGTGACTCAGAGATCCCCAAAGATGAGAAGCTCAGCAACCTAGATAGCTTTTGTTTCTGTCATCTACTCTTTGCAGTATTTTGCTGTTTATTTGTTGTATCCCGCCCCTGGGGCTGACAGCTGGGTGTCACTAACTCTTCCTCTCCCTTATTTTCTGGCCAGGAATCCCAGCCATCCCCTTTGGCTCTGCTGGCAGCAACTTGCAGCAGAATTGAGTCACCCAATGAAAACAGCAACAACTCCCAGGGCCCAAGCCAGTCAGGGGGCACAGGTGAGCTTGACCTCACAGCTACACAACTTTCACAGGGTGCCAATGGCTGGCAGATCATCTCTTCCTCCTCTGGGGCTACCCCTACCTCAAAGGAACAGAGCGGCAGCAGTACCAATGGCAGCAATGGCAGTGAGTCTTCCAAGAATCGCACGGTTTCCGGTGGGCAATATGTTGTGGCTGCCACCTCCAACTTACAGAACCAGCAAGTCCTGACAGGACTACCTGGAGTGATGTCTAATATTCAGTATCAAGTAATCCCACAGTTCCAGACCGTTGATGGGCAACAGCTGCAGTTTGCTGCCTCTGGGGCCCAAGTGCAGCAGGATGGTTCTGGTCAAATACAGATCATACCAGGTGCAAACCAACAGATCATCACAAATCGAGGGAGTGGAGGCAACATCATTGCTGCTATGCCAAACTTGCTGCAGCAGGCTGTCCCCCTCCAAGGCCTGGCTAATAATGTGCTCTCAGGACAGACTCAGTATGTGACCAATGTACCAGTGGCCCTGAATGGGAATATCACCTTGCTACCTGTTAACAGCGTTTCTGCAGCTACCTTGACTCCTAGCTCCCAAGCAGTCACCATCAGCAGCTCTGGATCCCAGGAGAGCGGTTCACAGCCAGTCACCTCAGGGACAGGGACTGCCATCAGTTCTGCCAGTTTGGTATCATCACAAGCCAGTTCTAGCTCTTTTTTCACCAATGCCAATAGCTACTCAACAACTACTACCACCAGCAACATGGGAATTATGAACTTTACCACCAGCGGATCAACAGGGACCAACTCTCAAGGCCAGACACCCCAGAGGGTCAGTGGGTTACAGGGGTCTGAGGCTCTGAACATCCAGCAGAACCAGGCATCTGGAGGCACACTGCAGGCAAGTCAGCAAAAAGAGGGAGAGCAAAACCAGCAGACACAGCAACAACAGATTCTCATCCAGCCTCAACTGGTTCAAGGGGGACAAGCCCTCCAGGCCCTTCAGGCAGCACCGTTGTCAGGGCAGACCTTTACAACTCAAGCGATCTCCCAGGAGCCCCTCCAGAACCTCCAGCTTCAGGCTGTTTCAAACTCTGGCCCCATCATCATCCGGACACCAACTGTGGGGCCCAATGGACAGGTCAGTTGGCAGACTCTTCAGCTGCAGAACCTCCAAGTTCAGAACCCACAGGCCCAGACAATCACCTTGGCCCCATTGCAGGGTGTTTCGTTGGGGCAGACCAGTAGCAGCAATACCACCCTTACACCTATTGCCTCAGCTGCCTCCATCCCTGCTGGCACAGTCACTGTGAATGCTGCTCAACTCTCCTCCATGCCTGGCCTCCAGACCATTAACCTCAGCGCGTTGGGTGCTTCAGGAATCCAGGTGCACCAGCTTCCAAGCCTGCCATTGGCTATAGCAAATGCCCCAGGTAAGACTTCTGACCTTTTGCATTTATTTGTAGAGCTGAGCATTTCAGTTGAAAGCATTCAGTCTAAAGCAGTTAGATTTGTTGAGGGTAACACTTGTGAAGGGCTTTTTAAATTTTTTTTTTTTTTTTTTAGAGAAATAGCAATTAAAATATTTTAAGAGAAATAGCAATTCCATTTAAGTCATTTGGAATAGATTTAAAGGGAAACTCCAGCTAATCTGAGAAAGAAACATGCCTGGTACATTGTCCTTGGGGTCTCTATACTTTCTGAGTCTTTGGTACTACAGAAAATGGATCTGGAAACTGCTTCTGTGAAGGGCCAGATAGTAAATATTTCAGGCCTTATGAACCACTTTAAGATCTCAGTTACATACTCCTCTTTTTTTTTTTGGATCTCCCTTCAAAAATGTAAAATAAGGGCCTCCCTGGTGGCGCAGCGGTTGAGCGCTGGGTTGCGAAGCTGGCTGCAGCCTCTGCAGCACTGGTTCGATCCCTGGCCTCCGGAGGAGGGTCCCACATGGCGCGCAGACCTCTCTTGCCACCGGCTGCTCCCCTCGGCAGTGTACTTCGGTCCTTCTGCCTGCTCTGCTCCCTGCTCTGGCTCTGGTGAATTCTCTCACCCTCCCGCGCTTCTGACTGTACCCAGTGCTTGTATAAATAAATAAATAAATCTTAAAAAAAAAAAAAGTAAAATAATCCTTAGTTCAAGGGCCTTATTCATCCTGCAGACCTACCCCTGTCTAGGATAAGACTTGATCTATTTGTTGGACAGTTACTAAATCATTATTTATCGTGAACTGTGACTCCTATGAGGGAAAAGTGATATAAGGGAATTCAGAAGAATTTTAAACATTAAGGTCCCTTGTTAATCTTTAGTTAACCAGAATAGCTCACTCTGTGAGCAGGCTGATTAAATTCATTTTTTTTAACTCCTACTTACCTTAAAACTAGAATGTGTTTGCCTCCCCTTACACATGTATATTTGTAATAAGCTTTATATGTAATTTTGGTGCTTCCTAGCTAAGAGCAATACTTCCTAGATTGCTTTGAAAGTACTGTGTTGTACATGGTTGGGAAGGGTGGGGAGAGGAGGAGGAGTAGAGAAAGGTAGGGCCTGATGGAGTGGGAGGAGTTAAGGATTAGGCGAATATTAAAGGGAAAAAGTCATCAGGGAAGAGGTATGTGTTGGAATGTGTGTGGAACTGTTGACCACACTGTTCAGTCTTTCATTTTGAACTGTGCATCGCTGTTGGTTAATTTGAAATTTAAAATACTTGTTTAAAAAGATGAAAGTCCATATAGAGTTTTTTAAATCCCAGTGTAATGGAAGTAATCTCTAAGGCCTCATGAATGGGTGCAAAATACGTTTTTATTCTGGCATAATATATAAAAATAAAGATGGGAAATAATTCAGTAGCAGTTTCTTGTCCTGTTGGAATATATATGGATTTGTGTATTGTTTACTTTTATTAGAGTTCTCAGTTAGAGTTCTTATGTGAGGATAATAACAAATAGTCATATTTCCTGCCTCCTGTAGTTTTTGAGTATCTGGGATGGGAGTGGGGTCGGGTGTGGGGTCAAATTTACCTGACTTCCTTATATTCTTGTGCTGTGTTTAAAATGACTACATTTGGGGCTTTAACAAGGAAGTCATTATCTTAGTGAACTGGAGATCTTTGAGAGCTGGGCTAGAGGACAGGATCTGAGAAATCTTCTAGTACAACTCCTTGTTTTCTAGGTGAAGACATGGAGATACTGAGAAGCACTTAAGGTCATCAGACCACAGCCAGACCTTGCAGTTAATTCTAACCTAGGGCAATACCTGTTAGTTTTTACTCAGGGTGTGAGAAATCCTTTGGAATGTTAAAAATGTTTTAGGAAAAAATATCTGTTTCTTTGAAATTTAATGCTCAAGAACTGGTGAATGTTTGCTGGACTAATATTATGGAAGTAGAAATGAGAAAAGCTAAATAAAAACTGAACTCTACAGTTTGGAAAATCAGGCACTTCGTGGTTTAGCTGTTCTAGCGTGTTTGTTTTCTCTTTGCTTTTCGTTTGTTGTAGTCCACAGTTTAGCTTTTTTCTAGGGAAAGCAAAGCCGTGGGATTGTTCAAATTAGTAATTTGGATCTTTGCAGTTTCTAAAAGGTTTATAACTTGGGCTCTAGAGAATAGGGCATTCTCACTGCTAAATCATTCTCTGGGGAAGTCTGCCATTTACTATGTCATAGGATAGGGCTACCTAGCTGTCACTGATGGTCTCAGAGCTCAAGAGAATGCGTGCCTTTCTGTCAGTTAGCAGCTTGACAGTCATTAATGAGAGAATGAGGCACTGAAAGGCCATTTTGTGAGAGTTGAGATTGTTTCCTTCATTATTAGCGGTTTTTCGAAGATATGTTTCCTCCTTTCTGGTTAGTTTTAATCGTGCAACATTTTTCCTCTTGAATTGATTTGACTTTATCCTTAATGAAACATAATAAAAGCACTTACTGAGAACTTAATGCTTTTTAGCTGTTGTATGACTGCTACAAAGTATCTTATTTTACCACTTTTTTTGGTATATTATTTTACTGGAAAAACCTCTTGGCAGAATGATGTGGTAGAAAGTATTGGAGGTGAAATCATGTAGTAAGCTATGGATAGATCAGTGGAGAGCACGCTACGAAGTGAGATATTACTAGATGGTTGTAGAAGACAATAGCTTTCATAGTGTTCACTTAGTCTGTTTACATTTAGTTAAAAAAAAATCATCCTTTAAAAATTTTCTAAGGGGCCTCCCCGGTGGCCTAGGGGTTAAGTCTCCCAATCACCTCTATCGCCTGAGCTCAGTCTCCCACCAGGGAGCTAATCCACTTAAGGCACAGCAGACCTCTCCTGTCTCGCCTGCTGCTCCCCTTGGCAGTGTATTTCATTCAGTCATTCTGCCTGTTCTGCTCCCCACTCTGTCTCTGGTGAATCCTCTCATCCCCTGCACCTCTGGCTTACACCTCAATTCTTCTATGCAAAAATCAAAAAATAAATCCTCCTGCTTTAAAATTTTTTTTTTTAAGTTCTTCTTAGAGTGTTTACTTCTGTTTGCTGAAAACATAGGCAAAGGCACAAATTTAGGACATAAATAAACCAACCACCTCTGTAGGCCTGTGTTTGTTTCTCGGCCCTGCCCTTGGTTATTGGTAGTGAGGACGGACCACCCAGTAAACTGAACTTAGTTTCCAGACAGTGAAATGATCTGTGGATTCTTAGTTTTTGTTGTTGTTTTTAAAGTTCGCAGCTTTTTCTTTTTCTTTTTTACATCAACACCCTTTCCTCATCTATCAGTAGCCTTCCTATTTGTAGTCACACTCTCACAGATCTTAGTTTTTTAATTTTTTTTTCCCCTTCAGCCACAGCTAAGTCCTGAAAACCCTTTCTCCACATTGAGGGATGGAGGTTGGCTTGGCTTTGAGTGACCGAGTTTGGATGAATTCGTGGGAGTTCTGCTAATAAAGAGTACAGGGCTGGGTTTTGGCAGGAGAATAGAACATATTTCCTTGATGGCTATAATTCACTCAAGAAGCAAATTTCAGGCACTAAAAATAAAAATTTCCCATCTGCTAGTTTTTATCGGGGTCAGGAAAATGTCTTCTCTTAGAAGTTAAGTTGAATGTGATACCAGTGTTGATGTGCCAACAGTGTTGCTAAACTTGGGGTCAGATTGCTGAGACCTAAATTTGTTAAAAGTTGCATTTTACACTGGTGCATTTGAAATTTAGTGATAAGTAAATTTGGATGATTAAATTGTGTGAGAGGTATTTTCTATTTTAAAATAATATGCTTAATATAAGAACGACTATTTCAGCATTACTTGCCTTCTTTAATATTGCTTCTTAGGGTAACATTAGTGCATTTTAAATGATTTCTGTTTGAGTAGAAAAGGTCACCTTTAAAACCTAGGTGCCTTGATTGATTTGAAATGACTGAAGTCAGTCTTCAGACATTTTCAGTTGCTCCTGTTTATTCATTCCAGTGGCTTTCTGTAAGTGACGTCATTGTTAAATCATGCTGCATTGTGTAATGTGGCCATTTTAGTTCTTAATTAAATAACTAGAGAACAAGGGTGCCTAGTGTTTCAAAAGAACTTAGTATCTTTTCTGTTTTCCATTCTTCTTTTTACCTTTAATTGTTCTACTTTGTAAAGTAGCATGTAAATGTTGCCACTAATTAATTTCTACTCCTTCTTTGTTTCTGATTGTTTTGTTTTCCTCATTGAAAATGTTTTATAATATAAGATGAATATCTGTAGAAAATCTTTATTACAGAATATTCTGCACAATACTCATTGGGTATAAGTATTAATAGATAATAAGTTGAAAAGTTTCACTTTGTTGTTTAGTTGAAGTCGACACATAATTGTTTTCCATACTTTTTACAGAAGGTGTGTCCTAGTAGTACAATCTCTTTCTCCGACATTGAGCATTCTTATATAGGCCCAAGTGTGCTGGAAACATTATTTAAAGGGCATTTTCCCAACCAGAGATATTTGCTAATGCTGTGTTAGATTTTAAGACTCCATTCCCCCTAGAAGAGCCTGTAAAACAGTTCTGAAAAACAATTCTGTATATTTATTTTTCTCGTTGGTTACAAATCTGGGTTGTAATTTAAATTTGGACTTTTGTTCCAATGTTTTTTAAACCCTGAATGGTTTATGAAAACTGGGTAGTAGTACTTGTTTGACAAGTTTGGCTGTGTCTATCTAATTTGGTATGAATCCTCTGTCTCACCCTGTATCTATGTCCAAAGTAAATAAACTAACAATTTTGAAGGAGTTAAAATACCTAGGTTAAGACAAAGACTTCCCCTTTAAGAGATGAGAGAACTGTTAAAAATCTTTACATATCTCAAATAAAAATAATTGTTTTCAGAAAAGAAATGTTTGCTGCAAATAATCTAAACGAGGTTGAATGTTATTGAGCTGGATCTTTTCAAATTATTTGATCTGTTCTTCATTGAATTGACCCTGCT